CGCTGAAGGAAATCATCTGTCTCGTACCCTTCATGTCGTTGAATCTTCTCTTGACAAAAAAGCCGTCTCCATCAGGTTCTTTGGTGAATATGTAGGATTGAAAATCGTTTGGCCGTGCTGGGAGGAAATTTGATGGCTTGATAGAGGCAAATTGACAAGGAAAGGTTTCTCGACTCAGAAGAAATGGTTTCGTGGTTGCTGTTCTACTCTCTATCTCTACTTGGTCATTGAGGTGGTCAGAGGTGAATGACATCGACTCCTCAATTCCAAGGATTCAAGGAAGGAGCGGCCGCTATGAATGCCGCAGAGACCATGTGGATACCTGCGGATCTGGATGTTCAATAACCACTTATCCAGTTACAATATAATTGAATGCTGTTACTAGTGAGCTCTTTACATTTCTACTCCCGTGAATGTAGTGCGAATGAGGTAAGCATCGCTTGCGTGGCTTCCAACATCAGAACATATATCCACACTTCTCATAACCAGATCCCTTACGCTTTGGAATCAACAACCTTTTCTCTTCGACCTCTCTTGATCAGACCTATCGAAATGTGATCCTTACTTCACTTCGAATAATGAACCTTTCCTTTCCCTATTATCCTGAGCAGACTCACCACTATCCCTAAAAGAAAATCGTCGCAAGATCTCGAATCCAATCAAGGAACTACGGTCGCTCATGGCCTCAGTCAAAGCCGCAATCTTGTTGATAACGGATTCAACAACGATGAATAACAGGAGGACAGCCCTCAGCAGAACAGTCGTCCAGGAGATGAGTATTGCTCGGTTTCCTTCGGCAGTCTTGACATCAATGATGTACGCTTTTACTTTCGGATAGCCGAAGATCCATCCATGATGAATTGGAATGCTGATCACATAATGTTTTCCACAAGTCCTGGTAAGCTTTACTCACTCCAAGGATACGTCCCGGAGACTGACTCAAAGAATCAAAGACATAGAGCTACAAGAATTGGCACTCGATACCAAAGACAGCCGGGGGGAACATGATGCTCAAGTTCTGGCGCCTTTCAGTCGACCCGCTATACACGACGATTCATCAGCCTCGCGGAACTATCTCATGACCGTATCACAGTGCCATACTTGCTCTTACGCGCGCTGGCTTTGATAAAGACGACTTTCGCGATTGGCCCTAAAGAGCCATCAAAATGCCTCCGAAGCACAGTCGAAGGATCGCAAATCCCTTCAAAGAGTTGCATTCTGGTATCGAGATGATAAAGGCGACTTTTTCGTCCAGAACTAGGACAACGACAACGGCTAACATCGAAGAGATAATCTCCCCGGGCAAGACAGGAAAAGCCAGGGTTGGCTGTTTCGGTACCGTCACTGACGGTAACTAATTTGACTTCGTCCTATTGGACGAATCACAAAAGGTACTGTACCGCTATCCATTAATAGCTAAGTTATACCGGGTAGTCATAGTATCTGCTGACAAGCTCACTACTCTGTAGTACTCGATCATAACGTATAGATGGAATGCAGGGCAGAAAGAGCTCATCTGGAATACTTTAAACTGGATGGTAGCGATGGCAGCTAAGCAATCCCCTTAGGGATCGGATGTCATGGATGAGTAATTAGAAGTATACATTAAACCAATCTCTGTTCTACAAGCAATCAGATGAATAGTTTAAGCGATTTTACAACTCAGGGATGGACGATGTGAATCGTTATCATGAAATCTTGATGGCTGGTTGGTTCAACTACTGTGGATCCTCGCCATAAAGTTATAACGAGCCTTTTGAGCCGGGGAATTCCGCCCCCAAATACCAAATTCGTTGTTTTCGCCATATAGTGAAATTCGTAGGTCAAGACCATTCCTACATACAGAATTCGCTATATAGCGGAAGAGTTATACTTGAATAAGTAAGGATTTATATCTATTTAGAACGATAAGATCCTATAGATCACGTGGTTGGTTTTTTCAAAGATCAGTCTCGGAAAAAATGTATATACTATCTACACCAAATCGATATTAAAAACCTAGATTCGCTACAGCAAAATCCTCGTTGTAACGAACTGGTCGGCCTTTCCCAATTGATTCGTTATAGGGAGGATCCACAGTAGCTAAGTTCCTGAGGTGAGCAACTCGCTTGGTGAACCGCCTAGTCACGTGGCTAGGTTACTCGGGAACACCGACACAAAGCAGTACTAGGCTAAATACTAACCTGGACACAAATTTTTCCAGATGGCAGAAAACAAACTCGCAACAGCTGGGGGAGGGGTTTAATAGGTAGAGCAAGAGAAATACATGCTTATTGCGATTATCAAAGATCAAAGCTCTGTGAGCCTTCTCGAAAGTCTATAACTTGCTATACAGTATATACGGGCTATTACGTAGCCTTCTATATACTTATCACAGGCTCAGTGCTTCTTCTCTTCTTGGCCGCGTTCATTTCCAGGCCCTTAGCTGTTGACCACGCTGCTATTGACGATTTGATAATTGGTACACTTTCAGGGCAAGCTTGATTTCCATCGAGAGTTCATGTAGCAGTATCAGTAGCATGGAACAAAGGAAGATTGTTGTACAGAGTAGATTGGACCCTTGTTGCAACAAAACTTTTCAATTTACAACGTATATGCTATACTGTGTACCTACCTAGCACATACGACCACAGGGTGTGGAAAACAGGGCTTCCCGTCCGCTCAGCCGTACTTAAGCCACACGCCGGGAGGTTAGTAGTTGGGTGGGTGACCACCAGCGAATCCCTTCTGTTGTATGTTTTTGTCTTTTTACTAACTCTTACCACACCCCCCGAAAGCATCCTAGTAACAGACAGGTATAAGTCATGGAAACAGACCTGGCGATACAGGTCGGGCTGGATTGTGCAAAAATCATCTAACCACCCTCATTCCCTCTTCTACTTTGTTTTTTCCAAGCCCTCTACCCGCAAAGCTCTGTTTTGCATGTACAGTATGCTTTCCCCTGCCTATGCAGCCATCAAGTCACCACTACCATCATCACTAACCCTTTCCCGAAATCTCGACAGAAACCTCACCCCAAGCCCGATAACTCCGGTGCCCTAACCACGTAACTCCTCAACGTCGTCATCTCCGAGTACCCTTCAAGAGGGAGAACCCAGCACTTGCATGCTACCTAGGTGTAGGCCCTCCCGACCAGCGCTTGGAACCCCATATCCAGGACAACCGAAGGTGTCATTGTCCTACCAGGAGGTGAAATATAGGGGCTGGACCAGAGGTGATTACCGCTCTGCCTCTATGCAGGGAATTCTGTTCACCTGCGGACCGACAAAACAAACTTTCTGTCCGGTGGGCTGCGGTGTAATGTGCAACTGCCGTCATTTTCCTGATGTCGAAAATAACTTGCACCAGGCACTGAGATTGATTTCCGCCATCCTGAAGATAGTGACGAAACAAGCAGGCCATACTCTTGAGTTGTCTTTGACACGACCATAGAACAAAATGAGTCATTCGTTGTCACCCTGGCGTTATGAGAATACAACAGTTTCGCATTCGTTCTGCTCAGTCTCGACTACGACAACGCTTATTCGTTATGCATCCTCTAAGAAGAGTTGAGAAGAACCACAAAAGCAAGGCTCTCCATTCGTCGGACCCATCCGTGATATTCTTTATTCCCGAGCTCCTCGAAGCAATCCTCCTGAACTTGGACATGCATACGTTGTTGATCTCGACCCGAGTCTGTTTCACATGGAAAGACCTGATCACGAGCTCGTGCAAGATTTAACAGGCCCTGTACTAAGTTCCTGTCGAGCCGCAACGGAAACCCAGAAAGAATCCTCTCGTAGTGAAAAAGATCTGGCCCGAATTTATTTACACGCAACTTCAAAACGCAATATAGACCGGGAGGACACTATTGTGGCTGGTGGAGTTATCCTCACATTGCATCCGAAAAGAGAGAAGAAGCGTATCTGCGCCCTGAGGCAAGTTGGCGGCGGAAGCTTCTCCAACAGCCTCCGACCTCAATTGTCCGATTTTGGCACCCTGAGCACCTCGACAAGCCCTATCAGCATCATCATCGCTCCGGACAAAGCTTCAAAACCAGCGCTAAGTGAATGCCAAATGGAGATTATATTCGGATGAAAGATATCGAATACTGGATTGATACCTCAGCGTTCACGCCAGGACCCCTACCTTTCTTATGCTGGGCGAGTTTCGTCCATCTGAAAGAGCTCTCGCGACAGCCCAAGTCAACACTGCGCAGAAAACACACTCTCAAGCAATATTTGAGCAGAGACCAGACTCTCAAGCAATGTTTGAGCGAGTCTGATCTCACAATCAATACAGAATGCCCTTCCTCCTGGATGCCAATCTTAATTGACGATCCTCATGTACCACTACGACACTTTCCTGACTGGTGCATATCGAAGGGTGTGAAACTACTGGAGGGGGATTTCTAGGAGCATGGCTTTCACCTCGTCAAGTCGAGTCAAGTTTAGGGACCTCACTTCAAGTCAAGCTTTGCTCGATAATCATTAGCTTGTTTCAGGAAAATTCATTACAACTTTTGAGAGCCATGGGCAGATCGGAGAGCGTGATCGTAGCACAATTGCACTATCAAATATGACGATTAGTCACTAGATAACAAAGGGAGACAGACTGAAGACATTGCAATGATAATAAAAAAAGGGTAAAAAAGGAAAATGGGGCAAGCCGGGCTTGAACCGGCCACCTCCAGATCTTCAGTCTGACGCGCTCCCAGATGCGCCATTGCCCCGTTTCACGTGACAGTTGAATAATTGTATGTTACAGATTCACCCCCAGAATCTACCCCTCAGTACCGTGGTACTAAAACCTGGTCTCATTTTAGCATGGGTACTGGTATCGAGGTGTATCCCCGGCCACTGCACATCCACTGGAGTACGAGGACAGAGAGCAGTTTTCCTTTCTTTTAGATATTGTGACCGAAGATTGGTCGTGCATATCACCAGCAGACTTGCTTATACATCGAAACTCATCAAGATAGCCCTTGCCGTATCTATGACCGCATCGGCCGCAAACAGACCATGACCCTGGGCTTTGTCCTGTGGGCCATCTGGGGCTTCATCCTCGGCGGTGCCTTGCAGCCCATACTGTCTGTCTTCCCCCTCTTCGTCATCATGTACGGAGTCTTCAATGCACTCGGCGAGATGGGACCGGGGGTTTCCACCTTTCTCTGTGCGGCGGAGTCTTTCCCCACACCGCTGCGCGGGCACTTCGTTGGTCTGCAGTGGCCGCCGCGGTGGGGAAGGCGGGCGGCTCGATTGGCACTGAGGTGTTTACCTCAATCCAAAACTCTTTCGCCTCCACGTATCGGGGCCAACAGGCGGTTTTCCTGGTCGGATAGGGGTTCTGTCTCGTGGGCGGGCTGGTCGCCTGGTACCTGATCCCGGATAATGCGCGCGACCTGCAGACGGAGGATGACCGGTTCAGGGATTATCTGGCAAAATATGGTTACGCTTTCAGGTTGTATGGGCAGGCACTATGTGTGGAGAGGAAGGGCTAGGCTAGTACGCTAGCTGCAAAGGCGTCGCAGCTTCATCGAAAAGTTGATTCTTGCTTTACAGCTACCGCAAGAGTCCACGTCACGGGCATGGAGGCTGTAACATTTTCTTCTTGTTCCTGTCAGAGCGAGAACAAGGACGACGTCGACCATAGAATGTACACCAAGCCACAGTATTCGCTGCCTAGCTCCCAGATGCTACCTCGACTAACACCGAAACAGGAGGTTAAACTATCATGAGTTCTTCAGTTAACCACAATCAGCTTCAACCCTAGATCTGGCTCAGAACAACGAATAACCCGAAGCCCCTAGTTAACAATCCAGGCGATACAATCTTCCAAAACAAAGCTTCTCAGCAAAGATCTTCCATGTTAACACAATAACACATCAAACCGACAACCGGTAAATAAACCACTACAAAGTACCACAGCGTGACCAATCAAGGCCCTAGACCGATCGCTTCCACTCCACATATCGCTCCCTACTCGATCGGATCTCCCGCAGACAGAGCCTCAGCTCCTGCAGCGCGCCCTCCTGATCAGGCCGCAACCGCATCCGGTAAGGCCATTTCGCGACGATGCTGTGTGGTTCCTTGATCCTCGCGCCGACCCGGCTAGCCGCATCCAGGACTGCAAATGTCCTCAGATACCTATTGAGAGTGTTAATAATTGCTTGCTCGTGTCCACTTCACTTGGATGCGTGCACCCGGTGTGTGCTCAGCGTACTCACCTATCGAAGAGTCTGTCGACTGGCGCGAAGAGCTGGAGAGCGGAGGCCTTTCTGAGGGATGCGGCATCAAAAACAGACCATTGTTCCGTCTCCGGGCTGTATCTTCTTAGGAGTTCTTGGGTTTGAGGATCGGCGAACATGGATGTGAGCCCCTCATCGAGGGTCGTGACGCTGCTGATGGCGGTCGTGAACAGAGTGATGAGGGTGGCGTGTGGGTTCTGCTGCGGAGGCCGAAGCAAGGGGATCATGGTCGAGAGGGTATGATAGGCACCCATGTGATTGTTGTCTGCAAGATTCGAGAGCTGGGAGAGGATGCTTAGTACTGGATGGATGGATTATTTTACTCGTGATCAGTGAGGCTGCCGGGGGGGGAGGAGGTTCTGTTTGTAGGTTTGTATACTTACTTCGATTCGGTCAAAGGAACCCCTATCGAGACCTTCTACAAGATGGGCCGCAGTAGTCTGATGGAACTGGAAGACAATCTTTGTGCTGGACAATCGCTCGACAAAAGGGGCCAGCGTGTTGTGGAGGTAGCGGAACAGCTTGCCGTAAACGTCTGCCGTGGCGGGCCCGCTGCGTGTCTCCAGGACGTCTCTCAGCGGCCATCCACTAAGCGGATTCGCACGAGCCATCGGAGGCCAGACTCCTCTATACTGGAATAAAGTCCTGGTCTCGCGTCAGTACCAATTCCTTCACATTACGAGGGTACCTGAACGCACAGGTTTGGCTGCACAAAATCGTGGCGAGGGTAACCAAATGGAAGAAGAAGGCCGTCTTGTCTGAATTTATGGTATGCAAGCCGCTGGCGCGGAGAAAGGAAGATCATATGCTCATCGTGAAGGTCCTTCTCTGAAGCACCAAAAACCTGTCCTGTGCGGATCATCTGGGCACTCTCAGCTGTCAAGCCAGATGGGATGTTGCAATAGGACAGGAGGCGAGACCACACCGCGCGTCCTAATGTTACACTCAGCGAACAAGCCCTAAAGTTCCAGGATTATGAAACGGGTTCCAATCGCTCATGATCGATCGTGGTGTGACAGACGTCCTGAATGAGGGGCCAAATACGATCCGAGAGCACTCGGATGTCGGATTGCCGCACCAGTGTCGAGTACCAGAGGTGGATTATGCAGTCGATAGCTTCATTGGGGTCATCGACAACAAGTGCCACAAGGAGTAATATCACATTCCGGATCACGACATCTTCAACCTGGTCATTGATTGTGATATCAAGGGGGCCACTATAGGCGGTTGGCAGGTCGGCGACGGTTTTGATGACATTGCGGAGGTCTCCTGAGGCTATCGACACAGCCTATCAGTCATGCACAGAACAATAGACTAGACGGGATTTGATACCTACCGGCAAACAAAAGGCGAAGGTCCTTAGCATAGCTTTCCCCTTCATTGAAGGCAAGCTTCAAGACATCAATCGCAGCATCGGTGCCCCAAAGGTATTTTCTCCTTTCAACATCTCGAAGTCGCCTTGTGTGAGCACGGGGAATCTCCTTTCAAGAATCCACGCCGGATGCCATGTTTCCTTCTTCAAGAAGGACTTACAGTCCTTCCGATGCTCAGACCAGTGAGCCACTTGACATGCTCTGCTGCAATACTATAAGTCGAGGTCTATGTCAGCACACATCTGGGAATCAAGTAGTCAGGTTATAGCACTGACAGTAATCAGGAAGCATCCCTTGCAGGTTGCTCGCCCTTCCTTCTTGCATTCCGTCTTCTCGGGACTCCATTTCGCGCAGATCGATGTGAGAGAGGTCATTGTATGTTAGTTGCGGGGGATCTGGATGGGTATAGTTACGCCTTCTTCGCTACTGAGAGAATTTCAGGAGATGCTGGTTGGGAACTGATCACGTCAGGTACTCGATAGTTTGAAGTTGGAAGCCAGAGATATAGCAGGATAAATGGATGGAAGAGTGATAGTAGAACAGGCTTTAATGGGGTGAGGCCGGACGTCTTATCCAGAGACAAGTAGGATATGGTACCTGAAGGTTTCAAAGCTATGTTGGCAGTAGGCTTATGAAGACATTGGAGGATGTCTTGTAAACGGAACGAGGATTATTTCCCAGACCAATTTGAAAAGGAAGACATCCATCACCCAGCTCAAAGCAGTGTTTACAGGTCACGTGCCCGTGAGGGCGTTTGCAAGGAGGGGCAGTGAACAGTCTTTCTACAACCACTAGGGCTACTCATAGATTGTCGGTGTGGGATTCTGTTTGGCAACAGTCCATAGACGATGAGAACATCTATGTTAGTAAGCTGGATACCCTGGTGTTGGGGATGTGGATGTGCTGTGAGTTCAGCCATGTAAGCCTATCTGAGCAGCACTATAACTAAATATGGGCCGCAGCGGGTGGTGGGCAGCTTAACTAGCTGGGCCTCAAAGAACCAGAAGAAGTCTCTATGTGACGGGCAAAGGAGCCTGCTTTAATTAAGTCCGATTCGCAGCCTCTCTGTCCGCGATGGATGGCACACCAGTCCTTCCCAAGACTCGTCTCATCTACCTTCCGGGAGAATGTTCGCCCTCATCCTCGGTATCATTCTTTTCCATGCCGAATTTATAATGCCGCCGAGAGAATAGTTGGATAAACGAAGATCATGAAACCAAGCTATTCCCCCACAATTCACTTAATGCCACGATGGGATTACCCGATATAGTTCAGCTCCTCTATCGCTTCTCATCCGTATCAACCAGATATGATAGCTCCCTATCAAATAATGTTTCGGACCTGTTTTTTTTGGTAGAACCGTCAGACCTCTACTTCGTAAGTACAGTATTGACGAAGTGTATACTCTCTGGTGTCACCCTTCCAAAATGTGTGTGCATGTGCGTGTGTATTTGCACCCATAGTAAATCTGCTTAGGGCTTTGAAGCTGTTCCGGGAGGTGGTCAACCCTATGGATACTAGTCCCTGAGAGTAGGATCGGAAATGCCCAGCCGGCGACTCACCAAAGCGCCGCATAAACGTGGAAGGCAGTAGACAATGCAAACTACTGACCACGGTGGCGAGGGCAGCGACATTGATCCGGACCACGATGTCTGGGATAATCAAATCGCACAGTCGGACGACCCAGCATCTGGCCTGGCCCTCATTCCTGACCCGTGAATAGAGGGGATCACCGTGACGACTCGGGAGGGATTTGCCGTCTTGAGATGCCACTGTCTCCTGGTACCGCCGTGTTGAGAAACCTCGCTGCGGACGCGGTCGGCAACATGATACTATCCCGGACGTGGGCTACAAGGTGACAGCACCGAACAAGCTCTATCAGAGGTACAGTCACATCACGTAGCACACGCAAAAGGTGGAAGCCGATGTGAAGAGACGAGGCGGCGTTGCTGCCGGAAGCGTATTTCCCGGGGTTGCGGACCGCCCGGTGCAGCATGTGCATAACGGTGGAGATGAACAAGGCCCGAGAGGCAGAGGCTTCAGTTGAAAACATAGTCGAGAGTGCGACTGCCGGGGAATGTAGAAGGGGAAGGCAAGTAGGCAAGAAGGGCACCGTGATTCTGTCAATTGTCAGCAATTTAATCATATAACACTAGAACAAAGAAATGTATACCAAGAGAGTTCCCCAGTGGTCATTATTCCAGAACAGAATACCGCTAAGAAAACCAACGAGACACATTTGCTATCCAGTTCAGCAGAACCGCGATGCCAGACATTTCTATAGCTTCATCGCATGAAAAGTGCAACTTGCGGATTCTTTAGCTCACACACCCCACAGCATATGGCAGACTCTGTGCCGCTGCGGTACGGTTGTGGGATGGTGGGATATGTGGGATGCCGTACGGCAACTATCTAAGCTTCTAGAAGGCATGCGGAATAATCTACATCGAACAGATGGGGCCATCTTGAGGCATTTGAATTGCTTGGGTAAGAATCTATCATATGGAACGAATGACTCAGGTAATCTGATCATGATGAGTCAGGTGGGTGAGTGGGTGAGCGGGTGGGTGGCAATGAGGCTATTCCGGTGGGATAACAGAAATGAAACTAACAGAGGAATCAGCAGCAGGACAAGATATATAGGGGCGCAAAGCTATCCCTCAAGCTACAACTCCCTCTTCTTCATCACATTCACTCTGTCAATCACTCAGATATCCCTACTTGTCGACCAAGAACAAAATCAAGCAAACAAATCCTCTCAATCCAGAACAGCCAACGTCGAAATGCCTGCCTTCCAAGGTTCCGTCTCCGTGACGCACATCACCACCGCGACAGCGATCCTTAATATCGACGGCGTGCGCTTCCTGACCGACCCCGTCTTCTGCCCCGCGGGGTCCGAATACGACTACGACGGCTGGGCCAAAGCCGACTGGGCCGGCTGGGGCTACGAGCAGCCCCCACCCCCGGTGAAGCTGCGCAGCCAGGCCGGCCCGGCGCTGCAGCTGGACGAGCTGCCGCCCATCGACGCCGTGCTGCTCAGCCACGAGGACCACGTCGACAACCTCGACCCGCTGGGCCGGCAGCTCCTCGACGGCCGCCACGTGTTTACCACCCCGGACGGCGCCCGCAACCTGGCCCCGCGGCCCGGCGTGGTCGGCCTCCAGCCCTGGCAGACGGTCGAGGCAGTCCTCGGCGGCAAGCGCTTCCGCATCACCGGCACCCCCTGCCAGCATTTCCCCGGCGGGGAAGTCACGGGGTTCATCGTGGAGTGCGACGCCTTCGGGTTGAGCGACGAGGGCCTGCCCAACGTGGTGTACTTCTCCGGAGATACCGTCTGGATCGACGAGCTGGCGGAGATCCGCAAGAAGTGGCATGTCGCGGTTGCCGTTGTGAACTTGGGCAATGCCTTGTTCCCCACCCCCAGGGGGATGCTGCAGATCACCTTCGACGGGAAGCAAGCGGCCCATCTGATGCGCGTGACCGGGGCGGATGTGATGGTCCCCATTCATTTTGAATCTTGGGAGCACTTCACGCAGCATCAGGAGGAACTGCGGCTGGTGTTTAAGGAAGAGGGGATTGACGACAAGGTGTGCTGGTTGACGCCCGGTGTGGAGAAAACCGCTATCTAGGTGTGGTTTGGTGATTGAAACCAAAGGGGCTCGAAAAGGTTGCCATGGAGAAAAGTCATCGATTAGACTCTAGAGTTCCGTTTGCATCGATTTTGTTTTGAATTTGGTTTCTCTATATAGACAATTTCCATTTTACTAGAGAATTGTTTAAGGCTCCTGCCCGTTGCCCACCGACTCCCGCCATTCCGTATACGGCAATTAGTCGATTATACTGTGCTAAACCAGATTAAAGGTGTATTTATATTTATATTTAAAAATATAAAATAATATAAATGTAGGCTTCTCACCGCTTGAAATACAGTTACTGTTTTGGAAAGTCTAAACAAATCCAATATAATATATGAAATTCTAATGCACTTTCCTATCTAAAAAGATGGGCCACGCCCCACCGCCTGACGCAGCATAGCTAGGAGCGTGGGCGGGTAACAGGAAGGAGTGCCTTTAACAATTCTCTTTCACTACATCGTCTCTAAACTACCACGTCAGAGACAACAAGTCTAAGACCATCAACAGCGGAAATGAGAATTATCGTAGTATATCATGATGCACCCACTCACAACCACCAAGTATCCACCCCGTCCGCCAACACCCTCGCACACGCCGAGATCCAATTTCCTTCCTCGCGCCCGTCCAACGGGGCCGACGCACCCCCGGACCTGCGCGCCTCGATCTGCAGCAACCGCGCCAGCTCCGGGTTGGACTGCGCCTCCCAGAGATGCCGACTATCCGGCGGCGGGAACTGCAGGTCCGAGAGACGCAAGACGCCCCGGTGTTCCTCCCGCCCATCGCCGACCCTGGCCAGCTCGTCTTCTCCCTCCACCATTTTGGCTGTATGCCCACTCAGCCGACAGACCTTGTACATGGCCAAGCCGAGGCGCTTCAGCTCCTCGACCCCGACCCAGATGCACGCGACCGAGTCGATGGTCCGGTGGTACCGCTCCAGCATCAGCGGGTAGTAGAAGACGCTGTTGCGGAGGCAGGTGGTGACAAGGACGGAGAGGATGTGCGTGTCGTCGGGGGAGAGGGGGAGGGTGAGATCCAGCGCGTGCGAAGGCTTGCTGCTCCCATGGCTCGGGCCGTGGCCTGCGCGGGTAAGCACCAGGGAGAAGATGAGATATAAGAGGATCGCCTGGTAGGTGGCTACGGGACATCGCGAGACGATCTCCTGTGTCGGTGCGGTGGGATCATGGTCGGGCGGATCCGCGGTGAATGAGATGGAGCGTGCCCAATTCTCCTGAGGTTGAGTTAGCGTTGAATCTGTGGATAGGAGGTCGGGCGGCCGGTGGGGAGCGGTCTTACCTGCTGTGCGAGGATGGAAGATCCCAGTTTGCGATGGAGATTGATCGCCGCCTCGCGCGCCGAGGGGGTCTCGCTGACCCATAGACCGATCATGGAGACCACCTGCAGGAGCAGGAGGGGCTCGTCCGGGGGGCTGAAGGTGGCGCGATGCAGGATGGGCCAGTGGGGGTGGAAGTGGGTGAAGTAAAGGTGGATGTAGGGGGTGAATTGGGAGGTGGAATTGTCTTGGGTGGGGAGAGATGGGGGAGATGGGGGAGATGGGGGAGATTGGGGAGACTGGGGAGACTGGGGAGACTGAGGAGACAGAGACTGCACTTCAGGAGATGATGGTGACTGGTGTGGTTGTTGTGGTTGTTGTTGATGCTGGGGGCGGTGGTGGTAAATACAGGGTTGGGGCTGGGCACGACAGCGATTGCAAGGCTTGCCTCCGCCGCACCGCGTCTTGGCCTGCCGGCAGCCCAGGCACGCTTGGGCCGTGCGAGTTGTTGAGACTGCTTGTGGGTCGTCGTGGTGGTCCAGGCGAATGTGCCGACGGAGAGAGTCACTGCAGTTGATTAGTATTTCATTTTCGAATGATTGCCTCTCTTCCAGTTCAGTTCTAACCTACCTTCTGGAGAATGAACGGGCGCAAAAGGGACAGGCCCGGGCCAGGGCCCCCGTGTGCTGCCCTTCATGGCGGTTGCGGTGCTCTTTGCGCTGGAAGCTGGAGTTGCACCCGGCTATTCGACACTTAAATCGAGGACCAGTGTTTTGCAAGGGAGAGGGAGACATCTTTCTGCTTTGCTTCTGCTTCCTACGGACCTTGTGTTCACTTGATGAAGAAGGGGGAGATAGAAATGATGATTCCATCCCACCGGCTCCACAAATCCACGATTTCCATCCCACCGGATCTCCCGGAGTCGCCACTTGCCGCTTCAGAGTTGGTAATCGCGGCAGTCAACCATAGAATTCTGCCCCGCGTAATAGAACAAGAATAAATATCTAGTTGTATTGACTGTCTCATTTGCTCTTTAACAAGCCTATTCTAGTATGAGTACCAACGTGTTGCACCGTATATATATTCAGCAGGCCGGTGAGATCGCCCCGGCATTTTTCAGTCCCAGTTAGAGCCCCAACGAAATCAGAAGTGTAGTAGCTTCTTCTGCACGGTGCTGCACTTCGATAATCCAACAGGCCAGATCTCGGAGTCAACCCTTTTTCCACGCACCGATGTCTAAATCCACTGGTCCAAAGAGTACCCATTCCTGTACGCCAGCGCCGTCTGCGGCCCCTCCGCGTCAATGATATAGGCATACTCGCAGCGATCAAACGACACCTTGGACTGGTCGCGATAGAATCCATCGTACCGGCCATCCATGGCCTCCAGCAGGTTACTCACCGACCCGTCCGGGTGGAGGACCTCCCACGGCTTGATGCAAGTCCGGCCCTGGCACGACTTCAGTACAAGCAATAGAGCATCCAGGCGATCAATCACCGCGGGAATGTCAAAACCCAGGATTGTCGCATTGGTGGTTGAGACGTGCGGGTGAAGGTTGTTGACTTGGTAGGGGTCGGTCTGGATTTGAGTTTGGTCAGTAGAGGATATAGTGGGGCTGGGGAGAGTGCAACATACACTCAAATCGTAGAGCTCATGCTCGTTGTTGCACCAGACGGAGTAGAAGAGGTTGTACTGTTGGCTGAGGATGCGGACGGCCTTGTAGGTGTTGTTGGGAACGGTGGGGGTGCCTGCATTTCATTCTTGGGTGTCAGTAGTCACATTAGACTTCTTTTGCGAGGGTAAAGGGACGGATAAATGCACCTAGGTTGGACAGACCACCCTCTAGCATTGCCTGGCCCCAGTACTCGACCGCTACATGCTCGTGCAGCGTGCCCTCGACCTCGGCAACGGGCATGGGAGTTCCGTCGAAGTCGTCGCGGAGCGGCAGGCTCGCCAAGGAAAACAGCGTGGGGGCAATGTCGATGTGAGTGGTGACAATATCCTGCTCCTGGCCTTCAGGGATCCCCGGGCCACGGATGAAGAACGGTACGCGGATGTCCTCGTCGAACGCGCAGGTTTTGCCCGGGGGCAGCCGGTGCTGGCTGATGTGGAAACCATTGTCCGACGTGTAGATAATGTAGGTGTTGTTGATCTGGGCACTCGCCTCCAGGCGGGTGATGAGAGAGTCGACCAGTTCATCGACACCCTGTAGGGCTCGAAGTCGCTGTCGGTAGTAGTGGTCGTTATAATCGATGACGGATTGGTTGCGGTAGGGAAGTTGGTGGATCCAGCTGACACCGGTGGGCTACAACGGTCAGAACCTGGGCCCGCTAGATGATAAAGATAGATTGTGACGGACTCACCTCCTTGGGATTGAAGTTGGCCGTACGCGGGACTTTGGCGTCGGGGAAGAGGTGCTTATGACGCTCTTCAGGGATGGGCTCATCCATCCACAACGGCCCGGCTCCACCACCGTAGGTCCCGTTCATGTTCGAGTGAGGTGCGATCGGGGTCACGGTGAGGAAGAAGGGCCGTTCGCCGGCAAGAGCATCTTCTAAAAAGCCCATGGCTTTCTCGGTCAGGACCTCGGTGGTGTGACGGCCCAGATAGCTGACAGGCAGGTCGTGGTTGCGCTGATACGTGGCGTTCATGTAGTCGTAGGTGTAGGGGTCCAGTACGAAGTCAGAGCCATTGAACCCGGCGGCATGGGGCTTGTTGTAGTTTTCGACAGATTGTGCGTTCATCAACTTGCCGGTGTAGTATGTGTCGTACCCAGCTTGTTGCATCCAGACCGGAAGGTAGTTGTCATTGAACCCTTGACTGATAAATTTAGGATACCCACCTATCTCCGGTCAGTCTCAGAGCGGCAGGTCTAGGGGCAGCAACTTACCCCATGGGGGATGCACATCTGTCACATTCGTGTTATGGGCCTGCCGTCCAGTCAAGAGGCTGACCCGCGACGGGCAACAAAGGGCCGTAGTCACGAAGTGGTTGACGAAAGACATTCCCTTGTCTTGCATGTGCTTTGTAGTGAAAGGCATATACGAGAGAGAGTCCAATTTCAGATCCTGGTCATCAGCCATGATGAATAGGAAGTTGGGCGGTTTGGAGACCGACTGAGCCGCGGTTAGGCCTGCCTCAAGGGCAGCCATAAGGCCCCAAGTGATAGCCAAGCGATCTCTGGACAACTTCATGTTGCGCAACTGTTAAGCTGGTTGGAATGCTACAAGAAGCCACTGTATTCCTCGACGCCGGTATTTAAACCTTCTTCGACAAGTCGCTTGAGCATGATGCCACAGGACTCGGCTTTCAACACTTTCTAGCGTGCCCCTCGATGGGCGCACCTTCGCCGAATCCTGCGATCCTTCCCGACGCCCATGTAGACATGATCCCAATGATCATCAATCTTTTCCGGTCGAGACGAGGTCAAATGAACGGCTATCGTGATACCATAGCCATACTTCAAACCCTCGGTGTGGGTCACCGAGGGTTATACGAGGACGCTAGCTGAGGGGAGGTGGAGCCGGTCTTCAGGCCTCAGCCAACTGGAAAAGGGGTTTGAGCCTTGCAGGGTCTTCAGTTTGTGGTCCAATGACCCACATTCCCCATTTGGAGGCTCAAGGTAAGCATATTTGTCATGCCGGTGGGATGCTTGCCACGACCAGAACCCTCTTCCAGTATTATAGATAATTTAATCTGCTTGAGGTGGCAAATCTTGGCCTCGGTCTTGAAGGATTCCTAGCGTGGGGTGCTACAGGCGATGCCCACAAGGAACCCTCAACAAAATAATATTGGCGTCAAGGATCGGTGAAAAAATACAGAGCGCTGAATTCGGGCCTAGATGGCCCGTCTTTGTGGGCAAATCCTCACGTGGAGGTGGAGGGAGAGAAAACGTCCAGCAGAGGCCGAGTGTCGCACGAGACTGCTGCGTGAACCTCCATCACAGCCTGACGAATTCGTTGCATCGCGCTCGCAGCAATGGGCCACGCCTCCCCCATGGACCTGAGGACCCCTAAATTCAGCGCCAAATACTGCTGCCTGGGCCCCGGGGGTTGCAGGCCATCGCTGAGCATGAGTGCTACGTGTATCACGGAGCTTATCACCAGTGTGCAAGCAAAGAATGGGCTGTGGTTGATGACCGAGGGCGACAATGACGCGAGTCGGGAGAGTTGGACGGCACTCTCCGCTACTTTTGCGGTGTGCAATTGAGGGTCCGGGGAAGTGGTGACGAGGGCGGGCGGCGACGAACAAAGGATGCGGCCGGTGATGGGGAGAAAGGCCAAAAGGCAAGAACGTGGGAAGTGCAGATAGATACTGGCGCAGTGCATCAGCATCACGGCCTGCATCATTGCCTCCTCCAAAACACCATTCGACTGGAGAATGGGGCGTTGACTGGATGGCAATCGATGGAACCACGCGGTGATGGCGGCGCTGAGTACGTCGAGCGTCTCCTGAGTGATATGCGACTCGCCGGCGCGCAAGCATTTCCGCAGCATCATGGCGGCTTCGATCCGGTAGGCACCGGGAGAGAACTCGTCATCTCCGCAGAACAGACCATTCTGTTCCATGTCGGCGAGGGTGGGCGGGAGAGGACTCATAATACAACCTGAGTGATACTCTTCTGGACCGCAGGGAAGGGGGACTTGGGGCGTCTCTCTCATTTCAAATTGGAGGTATCCATCGGCCTGAACAGCTGCGAGTAGCACATCAACCACAAAAATCTCCCACCACGTCCGTCGGAGACTCTCGGCCCTCAAGGGAGCGTCTACGCTAAGCGCATCGGAAGCCTCGCGACCGTGCAGACCCAATTCCAGCGCACACTGGAGGGCCTGGCCGAGACAAGACCGAGCCTCGTGGCTTTGCTGTCGCCCGTGTTGTAAGATGGCCAGAAGCAGGAAGGCCTGTGTCTTTTCGACCGTCAAATCGGCGGCCTGCACCGCCAGAAGTAGTGTCTTGCTGCCATCATGGAAAAACTGAGGCGACAAATAATGTAGACTGGTAAACTCCATGATATCCAGTAAGTAAGAAGGGGAATTGGATTCTAGGAGAGTTTCCATTGGGGGCAGGAAAGGATGTGCCTGGTGAAAGTGGAGGTAGTAGAGGGAAATCAACTGCAAGCCTTGTTCCTGTCCCCGGAGCGAAGCGAATTGCTGCAGATCATGTTCATGTTCATGTGGCTGTTCGTGGTGTTGTAGACTCTGCTCATTCACCTCAGCCATTGACTTCAATGGTACAGGTGAGGCGAGGGATAAAATCGAAGAAGATGGCAAGGCTGGGCGACATTTGCGACCACGGCGAGAGGGAATGAAGTGGCATGGAAGACCAATTGACTGGCACCGAGTACATCCAGCCAGATTGCCATCACATTTCAGGTGCTTGTCTCGGCAGTTTAGACAGGCTACAGGGGTAGTGCAGTCCATGATGACGGGATTGAATAGGGCTTGTCTAATGGGGAGGAGTATAATATAACATAAATACGGAGTATGCGTTGGAAGAAACGGTGGGTGAAGTAGAAAGAAGGAATAGGAGGAGCAGATGGAACGGATGAACGGATGAACGGATTATTCATTCCTCCGGCAACAACAAGATCCATCATCAACAACATCAACATCATCATCATGGAGTCTATAGCAGAAAAGACCATTTCTTTCTCCTTTCCATCCAGAGTCACGCTATCTATTCTACCTCAATCTCCAACTCTTCGTCGAGTTCACACAGACTACGCCCAACCCAGCACTTATACTTGCCCACATCCAATCGCCACTGCCCGGTTTTCACATCATACCATCGCAGCTCCGATCCAGGAATGGTGATAGTCACTTCGCGCGACTCTCCTGCAGGGACGGCGATTTTGGCGAAGCCGGCTAACGTTCTTGGATAGCTGACCAGGCCCATCTCCTCGATACGTGCCGAGGGAGCCACGTACACCTGCACCACTTCCTGCCCGTCGCAACCCCCAACGTTCAGGACCCGCGCGTGGACTGAAACCCTGGTCTCAGGAGAAGAAACAACGCTGAGGGTGCCGCTGATGCGAATATCTGCAAGCTCAAAGCGAGTATACGAGAGGCCGAACCCAAATGACCACAGAGGCGGAATCCCCCGGGCATCGAGATGCCGATACCCAACCAACACTTCTTCCCCAAATGTGTTGCGATCCTGCGCAGCCTCTCCAGGAAACCAGGCGCTCGAGCCATGATCCTCGAGTCGCTGGGGAAAGGTGATGGGAAGCTTGCCCGAGAAGTTGCAATGACCCAGGAGAGCCTCCGCCAGGGCCTGGCCGTTTTCCTGGCCCTGGTACCAGGCCATCACGATCCCTGCCGCGGCATCCGCCCAAGGCATAGTCACCGCACTGCCCGACTGCACGACGACAACCGTATTGGGGTTGGCTGCACAGACAGCGCCCACGAGCTCGTCGGTGCGATCCGGGAGCTGCATGTGGGCCCGGTCGCCTCCCTCCCCTTCGGAATCCTTGTTGTGGCCGACGACGACCACAGCCACGTCTGCTTCGCGGGCCGAATCAACAGCCTGCTCCAGCATCAGCGTCTCGTCCTGCTCCAGGGCGAGTCCCACGCGCACGCCCGATATGCGAGGGAATAGCGTGTTGTCGAAGGCGTCGACGAGCGGCAAGGTCACGACATTGTCTACTCGCAGTCGGTAAGAGCGGCCAGCCTCGAGATGGGTACTAGCGGTCCGGTCCTCACTCGAGCAGCCCAGGAAGCCACCAGTCACAACGTTCCACTCACTGTTATCGATGAGCAGCTCATCGTCGAGGAACAACTTGGCTTTTCCAGTGTTGGCTAGGCTCCAGGTGTAGCGGCCCGATTCGGATGGAGTGACTACTCCGACAGCCTGGTACGAGTACGGCCGACCCTCCAGCGCGGCTGGAATATCCCCATCACTCATGAGATAAATGAGCGAGTCGTCCCACAGACTGGTCGCCACGACCGGCCCCTCGAAAGCATGGCCTGCAAAGAAGCTCACGTGCAGACCCTGGCGGGATCCGTCCGGGACGGTCAATTGACCGCCCAAAAGAGGGGGGCGCAGACTGTCGCGGATGCCGGAGCGATATGTGAGCTTGATGTCCGGGTTCGCAGCCCGAAGCGCGTTGCGGAGACACTCTTCGGGCGTGGTGATGTAGAAAGGATTGACGGCGGCGCTGCCCGCTCCACCAGCCGTGGGCTTGCGCGCGTTGGGCCCAATGATTGCGATCTTCCGCAGCCTCGAGGGTTGAAGAGGCAGTACGCTCTCGTTTTTCAGCAGCACAAGGCCACTTTGCGCCGCCTCGCGCACGATCTGATGAAGCGTAGGGTCGTTGGTGGTTTGCTTGGAGGATACCTCCGTGGAATCAGAGGGGTTGTTCAGTAATCCCGTTTGTTCCAGGAGCTGCAGCATTCGTCGCACACTCGGATCGACATGTGTGGCCACATCAATGCGACCGGCCTGAATGGCGGCTAACAGGCGCTCGCCCCGACGTACCGGCGGACCCGGCATCTCCAGGTCAGTCGTGGCCAGCAAGCTTTCGACCGTACTGTTCAAACCTCCCCAGTCGCTCATAATCAACCGATCATACTGCAGCTCCTTTCTCAGCAGGCGCGGCAGGATTTCAGGACTGAGATCGGCATGTAGCCCGTTGATCTTGGGGTAGCTGACCATGGCCGTCCACGGCGCTGCTTCCGGTTCCTGCGCAGCCATGGCGAATGGCTTCATGTAGACCTCTCGCAGGGTACGCTCATCAATCGTTTGGTCGACATTGAACCGCCGAGTCTCGGTATCGTTCAGGATAAAATGTTTCATGCACGCCCCGACCCCCTGGCTCTGAATGCCGCGGATCATTGCAATGGCCATCACCCCGACCAGATAGGGGTCTTCCCCATAGCCTTCGAAATTCCGCCCGCCCAAGGGCGAGCGCGATAGGTTCATGGTCGGGGCCAGCAGGACCTGGCAGCCCTTGCGTCGGGTCTCCTGCCCCAGAACGGTCCCGACTTTCTCCACCAGGGCCGGATCAAAGGTGGCGGCCAGCGACACCCCGCACGGAATCCAGGTGGTCAGGGAGCCGTACGTCCATTTGGACCCGCGGGCTCCGGCCGGGCCGTCGGTCATCTTCAGACTGGGGATGTGTAGCCGGTCGATGTTGGCGGTTTCCCACATGTTCTTGCCCGCAAGCAGGGCGACTTTCTCCTCCAGTGTGAGAGACTGGAGGAGCTGGTTGACAGCTGACGAGGGGATATTGGAATACATTCTTGGCGGACAGGGAGAGAAGAAGTTTAGTTTGGCAGATTGACCATCCACGCACAGGGGAGTGGTGGTTTTTGAGGTGGTTTGTGTGCAGGCAGATGGTCCACGCATCCCTGCCATTTTTGACAGCATTAGCATTATACATGCGGTACAGACATGGATTACCCCGTTTAGACGTCAAAGTCTGCTGTTTCCTGGCCATCGCAGTGGCCCCATTCCTCGCGTGAGCCTCTTCCAGATCTCTCTCGTGTCGGCGATATAGTGGGGGGGGGGGGATTTCGCCGACTTAGTGGAGAAGACCCACTCAAGCCCTCATCCATCAACCAAGTGGGTCTCCCACATCGCGTGGGCATTGCTGCAATGACCGGGGGGTCCGCATCTCCAGTGACTAACTAGTGTGGGGAAGTAGAACACGGGGTCCTGGCTCGTCATTATTCTCTGGAGACAAATTCTCTCTCTCATTGTGTCTCCCTCTCTCTCTCACTATTGGTAAGGCTTGATTCAGTCTAGTAATCCTTCACGGCCACATTCACTGTTAAGCAGACGCCACCGGCTCGAAGCAGACATACACACGAAGGATTCCGACCTTCGCCAAGCAGGTGCGAATCCTTTCCCCATGAATCCGAGTAGCGATTGGATGGAACCATGACTGATAGACCTCTGTAGGATCATGCTCAAGGCATTATCATGGATCGGTTGCTGGCTCTCTCGTTGTTCCACGTATTGAGATAAAAGGCGGCGAAAGGTCCTTAGCAAAGAGGAAGAATCCGACAAGTCTGAAACCGCAAGCAAAACGTGGCTGCAGTGCTCTCCTCGCACCTCTACTTCCTCTCTTGCAGTTTCCTTCCACCAATGGCGGCGCCTGATAGCATACGGAGTCTCCCATGGCTCATCTGGGCTGTAGCGATCTTCGGGTCCCTCTCCTCCGCAGGGTTCGGGTTCGACCAAGCCTGGTGGGCGAGCATCATGAGCTCCCAGCAATTCGCCCGTCGGTTCGGACACTACAGCCACCCTCAAGAGATCTGGGTGCTGAGCGACCGGCAGCAATCGCTGGGCACCGGATTGGGCTATGCCGGGGTCATCCTGGGGCTTCTGTGCGCCACCCCGTTGAACGAACGGCTCGGCCGCAAGAATAGCCTGTGGATCCAGTCGGCCGTGGTGAGCGTGGGCGTGATCATCGAATCCACCTGCCAGACGAGCTATGCCCAGTTCCTCGTGGGCAAAGCCGTCGTCTACTTCGGCGGCGGCATCGCCTCCAACGTGATCCCGGTCTACCAGGGCGAGTGCGCGCCCCAGGCCCTCCGTGGGGTGATGGCAGGCACGTACAACGTCTTCCTGATGGTCGGCGGACTGGTGGCGGCCCTCATCGTCTACCTCTGTCGCCACATCCCCAGTGACTGGGCCTGGCGCGGAGTCGTGGTGGCGCAGATCGCCATCCCGCTGCTGAACTGGATCAGTCTGCCCCTTCTTCCCGAGTCACCGTACTGGCTGATGCACCGCGGACGCCTCGACGAAGCCGGGGCCAGTCTGGCTCGACTGCGCGGCATTCCCCTCGCGGACGCCCAGGTCGAGGTCGCTCGCCTTCAACAGCAACAACAACAACAGCAATCGCAAAAGCCACAGCATAATCAAGCGCAGCATCCCGACGAGTCCTCCTCCTGGGCTGTCTGCTTCACCAACCCCATCTACCGCCGCCGCACCGCCATCTGTGTCGGGGCGCAAGTCTTTCAACAGGCGCAAGGCATCTCCTTCGTCGCCAACTACCAGGCCGTCTTCCTGCAACAGATCGGCTTCCGCCAGGTCCTCCTGATGTCCGTGGTGGTGTATGTCATCGGGATCGCCGGCAACCTCACCGGCGTGGCCGTCACCGACCGTCTGGGCCGGCGGCTCGTGCTGCTGGTCTCCGCCGCCCTGCTGGCCGCATGTATGCTCACCATCGGCGGGCTGACGTGCACGCCGACCGACAACTACGGGAGACAGGTCGGCGCGGTGGTCATGCTCATGCTGTGGTTCTTCACCTTTCAGAGCACCTGGGGCCCGTTGGCGTGGGTGATCACGGCCGAAGTGCCCCCGGCCGCCGCGGTGCGGGAGAAGATGGTCACCCTGGCGGGGTTTGCGGCGTACGGCACGGGGCTGGTGATTGTGTTTGTGAATCCGTATACGCAGGCGGCGATCGGCGGCAGCGTGGCGTTTATCTATGGAGGATTGTCGGTGGTGGCGACGGTGTTCGTGTGGTTGGTGGTGCCGGAGCTCAAGCAGCGGTCGCTGGCGGAGATCGATGAGATGTTCGCCGAGCGGGTGTCGGCCAGAGCCTTTGGGAGGTATCAGTGTCAGAGCATGTTGTCCAGGAGGGACGTGGAAGGGAAGGCAGGATCTTGGCAGGAAGAATGCGTTGAGGAGCTGTGATGGGGATTGTACGTAAAGCTTAGGTTTATGAAGATGATGAAGAAGAAGGATAAGACAATATGATCAAGACTAGATTTCTACCGAATCCGACATACGACATATTGTACTATACCTGTTGGGTGGTGAGTCTATATCCACGATGCCGTATGTACTGTGTAGTACATGTAGGCCTATCTATAAGCACCACTACTGCCCAGATGATACGAAGGGGCTGATTTTCACAGTCATGCATACTTTCTTTGTCTTCCTTGTTTGTATATATGCTCTATTACTCTCAAGTCCTTGACTACAGGAGTCTATCCGACCCACTCCATGCCATTTAGTGCATCCCTGGCAGCCTCACGAAGAATAAGCACTATGCTTCCGGATCCGACCTCCCCACTTGAAGAACAGCCACGGGAGGGGCGCAAAGCACACAGCCAAGAACCCCAATAAGCTAGACGCCCAGCTATAGCCTAGATTGTGGTACACTGAGAACGTCGAATTAGACCTGAAGAAGAACCGGGAAGAGCTAGCTCAGGAGAACATACTGGCGAGAGTGAAAAGAGGGAACGAGCCGCCGATGCCGTACCGCAGCAGGCCATTGGCGGCCAACGCGGATGCTCCGAACTGCGCCCCATAGACACGCGTTAGATACAAGGCGGTCGACACCTATGATGATGCGGTCAATATGAGAGATACGGCAGATTGAGGAAGGATTGCGCACGAAAATCATAATGTTGGAGCACCCAAAGAGCCCAATGGCGACGATACTGCTCATCCAGTGCACATGGGGAGTCGATGTCCATGCAAACCAGAACAGTGCCGCCGGCATCCACGGGCTAGCCAACATCGCCGCCCATAGGACGCGCTCCGGTGGCGCGGGGGTGCCCTCTGGGTGTCGTTGACGGTGCAGAGCCATCGTGTACTGGTCTGCCGCCAGAAGCATCAGACAGCCCAGGGCGCACCCCAGCGCTAGGGCAATGAAGACCAAGCCGCACTGACCCGGCGTGAAGCCGTAGACATTGGTATACACGAGAGGTACACAGGCGAGGAAGCAGAAGAGGACGGAGAAGTTGAGCGAGGAATAGAGCGAGCAGAGTGCCACGATGGGCTCGGTCAGGAGCATGTAGACCGGTCGTGCTAGGGTGACAGTGAGCATCACTCTAACGCCGGCCAGACCCCCGGGGATTGGACTTGGAGGAGCGGGCAGTCCCAGTTTGACGGCGCGACGGTGGAGGATCGGGCGAGCGTAGGACTCCTGCGCTCCTGCACTGAACGCCCAACAGGCGGCCCCCAGAAACAGCGTCGTCCACTGCGACCAGCGCCAGCTCTTGTACTCGGCCACCCAGCCCCCGACCAGAGATCCGATGGCAGGGCCCATGAAGGCGATGGTCATGAGGATCGTCACGCCACGGCCGGTCGCTGGCCCGCTCCACATGTCCATGATTGTGCCCGCTCCGACAGCCAGCGGAGCCGAGATGAACATCCCCGCCAGCAAGCGGCACACGGTGAGACTTGCCAGGTTGTCCGAAAACCCGGCTCCGAGAATGAACAGCATTGCTAGCGGGGTCATAACGAGGTAGATAAACCGCCGGCCATAGGTCTCGCTGAGAGGGGCGGCGATCATGGGTCCAAAGGCCAATCCGTATACGTACATGGTGAAAGGTAGAAGCGATTTGGTGGAGGAGGTGTGAAATGCGGCTTGAACATGACCGTGAGAGGGCGAGTAGATGGCAAGTCCGAATGATCTGTACAATTTCAGGTACCTGACGTTAGCTTTGACACATACCCATTTCGCATTGCTTGTGTACTTACATCAGAAGACACAGTACCGAAGGGATCGCTGTATTGTAGAGTTTCTTATGTGTAGCCCAGTTCTGCGCGTTGGCTGGGTCTTCCGCCCATTCTGGAAGTTCTGGTGAGGTGATAGAGACCGCCTTGGGCTCATTGCTGTCTAAGCTGTCTGACTCCATCGTTTTTTTTTGGCCGACTCGTCTGTGCATGATAGTCCTTGGTATGAAGGGTCATGCATTTATAAAAGCTCGGGAGGAGTAACCATGAGTGCTATAGAACAAACGGATAATCGGATGTGGTGAAGTGGGCAAAGGCCGGCGGCCCCACTATTTCGGCGAAATCCTCCTTGATCGGTCGGACCCCCCCTGGATTACAGCGGATTTGGACGACGGCTTGAAGGGCTTTCTATGCTCACATCGATAGGGAGCAAGCCTGATCCTCTGAGTCTCGAACAGGATAATTCCTTCCACTTTGAAAGGTTGTTGGTCTTATCTTTAAAAAAAATTACAGTTTTCCCTCCGTTAGCCCGTTCCCAATGCAGTTTTATGTAGTCCAGTCGATTTCAACCAATTGAACACCGCCTGATTTGTTTTGCTCGAATGTTGATATGTTTCTGTCGTTGATATTCACCGAAACAAGAATCAAGCTGTATTTGCATACTAAGAACCCTATTGAAGACTTTTGACATCTGTGAATTCACCGTCATGTATCATTCGCGGACAAATCAGGATGCAGCGCCATCCAGATTGTAACCCGCACACCCTATGACACTGCAAGCGAGCTGCCCTTCTATAAAGTACTAAGGCATCCTGAATGCATACATCTATACTGAGCAAGTACTTTACTACCAGAACATCGCGCAAAATTCCAGCCAAGGACCAAGAACTACCTTGACTGCTCCTGCGCCATCGCCTCCCGCTTCTCCCGCAGCACCTTCTGCACCTCCTCCCTCGCCTTCATCCGGCCCATCCACGCCCTCACATTGGGATACTGCTCCTCCAGCTCCCGAACAACGCCCTCATCCCGCACCATGAGCGGCACCAACTCCTGCCACGGCACGAAGCACAGATCCACAAACGTGCACTTCTCCCCGACCAGCCACTCTTTGCCCTGCAGCGCGCGGTCCAGCACCCCCATCACCCGCCGGATCTCCGCCGTATACCGCTCGATCGCAAGCGGCACCCGCTCGGGCTGTCGCTGGAACCACCCCAGCTGCCCGTAGTAGGGCCCTTGCCCGGAGACCTGGAAGTGCAGCCACTGCTGGAGGTGGTGGCGCTCCGGGAGAGTCTCGTAGCTGAGCTGGTGGCTCGAGTCGTAGGTTTCGATCAGGTAATTCACAATCGCGCCGGACTCCCACAGCGTAAGGTTGTTCTGGTTGGGGTCGATGATGGTCGGGAGACGGCCGTTGGGGCAGAGATCCACGTAGGGGGACTTCTTGACGTCGGCGAAGTCGACCATCACCGTCTCGTAGGGGAGGCGGAGGGCCGAGAGGATGAGGGCGACTTTCCACGGGTTGGGCCCGATGGGGTGCGAGTAGAGGGTGATCGGTTGCATGGTTGTTGGGGGTGTACCGATGTACTATACCGTCGAAGAGAGAACTGGGTTGCGATGGTGGAATTTGTTCCAGAAAACTTCTTGTGAACTACCTAGTATCCTCCAGGGGTAATTATATAGGGTCGGGCTGGATGAGGGGTCCGGCCAGGTTGAGTGGATTGCATTCGCCGAAATCTCGGTTCATTCGCCGAGCATGCTGTAAGCGAGTCCTCGGATGGCAGTATTCACAAAGTATGGGTTCAGAGTTGGTTAAGGAGGGCAAAGAAGCAGATGAATCAGAGCAATAGGCTTCCTGGGACTGGAAGGGGAATTTGCCCATTGCAGTATAGTGTTCGGCGACGTGGTAGGCCTGGTAGGCCGATTATAAATGCACGCGAGGATCTGGTGCTGGTGAGCCAGCATAGTAGTCTGTTTCCACTACACAATAGCGGCCAGGAAATTCGTTTGGCTAGTACAGCCTGTGACAGTGCTTGAGACACAAAAGCCTCCGTAGAATGCCTGAGAGTATTTCTCATAGCAGAGGAAAGTGTTAAAGCAAGCCTTCTGCCTGTAATTGATGCGACCCCATCCGACCCGGTGGCATTATGCTGTGGTCAAGGAGGCCGACCGCTCCGGACACCGCGATTTAGAACCGCCAAGATAGCATCATGAACCTGGGGTCAGAACAGAGAGCATGATAATTTAAGCAGAAGTTCTTTTTTTTAGCTATTTTTTTTTATATATTTTTTTCTTTTTTTTTATTATTATTTTGTTTTTTTTGTCTATATAATTCCTATTATTTTCTTTTTATATTTATATAATATCTTCTTTTTCTAATATCAAGACTAGTAAGTTTAAGTAACTGGATAATATACTAGTTTCTATTTATTATAATTTTTTTTAGATTTTTATTATTATTATTAACTATAATTTACTTTTTTTTATATATTATGTAACTATTTATAACCCCTGTACTAATAATATAGAATATTAGATTACTATATAACTAATAGTATATAAAAATAAGACTTTATTTTAGCTTTGTTATATTTTAAATTAGTAGTATATTTAGCGTTTTTCTTACTATAAATTCAAGATAAAAGTCGGTACTTTTACTATAATTTAAATTAAAAATCCAGCAGAATCCCCGTATAAAATATTAACAAAATTAAATATATATTAGATATTTTATATATTAATAGCCTTCTAATTATATTCTATAATTTAATAATACCGTAATATTATAAGTATAATAATTAAGTAAAATTTTAATAAACTATATAACTGTTTAAATAATAAAGTAATATCTGTATTAGAAATAAGTTTAAAAATTATAATATATACTGTAATTATTATAATCTAAATAAATCTAAGTATAAGCCTATAATAATTACTATTCTTCTCTATAATATTATTAAAGAGTTAATAGACTAAATAGAATATATAACTAGTATTTAGTATAATAATAGTTAGTTTTTTTTATTAGATTAAATAAAGCTCTCCTTCGTTAGTTCAGAGAATTAAAAAGAATTTTTTTTATTTATTTCTTTTTTCTCTTTTTTTATATTTTTTGTTTTTATTTCGGACTTATATAGACCAGAGCTAAAAAAAGAATATTAATCTTAATTCTTTTCTAATCTTAGTTTTTATTTATATAGTACTTAGTTAGGGTTTGGTTGGGGCTGCAGCTACTATTTTATAGCTATTTTTATATTATTAAATACTAAGACTAGCTTCTAAATTGGTTTTATATAATCTTTTTATTTAATAAGATATTATAATTGGCTTTTTTAGCCTTTTATTATATATTATTTGTTAAGAATTTCTTTAATTTTATATTTTTTTTACTATTAATTATTATAAATAATAGTTATAAGTCTTTTTAATCTTATAATAATAATATATTATTAGCTGTTAAATAGAATAGATTGATATAAATTATAAGATAAATATTCTTTAATATATTAAATTATATAGTATATAATTTTCTTTTTTTAAAAATAGTATATTTTATATTTTTTTAATCTAGCTTTTTATTAAAATAATTTATACAGATATTTTATAAGCTTAATTATATCTAATTGTTCTTCTAGTATAATAGAGCAGTTTATTAAAATTAATTAATCTATTTTTTAGTATTCTATTATATATAAACTATAATATTATAGATCTAGTTTAAAATATTATATATCTTTTATATAACTGTATCTTTTTATTAAATAAAACTAAAAGTAGTAATCTTTAGATTTATATTTTAAACTATTTTCTAGCTGTTTAGATTTAACTTATAACTATAGCTTAAAAAATAGTAAAAATCCTATAACTATATTTATATAGTTATTAATTACTAATTCTGCTAGAAGCAGTAAGTTAATCTAATTTCTTTAATTATAGTTTATATAAGTTTTTAGATATAATTTAATAGTACTATTTATATATTTAATTATTTTATTTATTTAAAAATAATAAGCTGTAGATAATCTTCTAGTAATCTCTAATAAATTATATACTTTTTTTTATATATAACTTATAAACTGGATATTCTATTCCGAGATTATAATCTTTAAAAAATTATATTATTCAAAAACTATTTTAATTAAGGTTTTAGCTATAGCTTTAGTAGTAATCTTTTTTATTATATAAAATATTACTTTTTTTATTAGTTTATTTATAATTATAAGAATATTTATACGCAACTTATTCTTAGACAAATCAGTAATAAAATCTATTATTAGTTTTTATTAAAATTAATCTAGTATTAGCAGTAGTTAGAGTGGCTAACGGCCAGGTCAGGTCAGGTTAATTAGAAATTTTATACCTGACCGCCAGGTTATAGTTAGATTAAGAAAATTTTTATATCTAACCGCGGTATAGCTAAAAAAAAACAGTTAATTATTTTAATTATTTTTAATATTAAGACCTGCCTGCTATATCTATTTAGACTTTAGTACGGTTAAAATATATCTAGATTAAATAATTATTAATCTATCTTAACTACTATTTAAAAATATATAGAAATAAGCTTTTTAAATTAGAAAAAAATAACGAAGAGAAGTATTAGTATTTTTTTTATTTTTATTTTAAAAGATTAATCAGAGAATTCTACTAGTATTAGTAAAATTTAGTTTTTTATAAAATTATAGTTCTTATAATAAGAAATATATATAAAAATATATAATTATAGCTTAATTTACGCTATATATTTTAATTATAATATATAATATTAGAAAAACTATATATTTACTAATAATTAGATTATTAAAAATAGATATATATTATTTTTATTTTATTATTATTCTTCTTACTTCAGCTTAAATAGTTTATTATATTCTTATTTTTATTTAAAAAAGCTGAATTATCTGTATAATAAATTAAACTTAAAGAAAAACCTATATAATACTATTTATATAGTTTTTTTTAGTAATTATACTTTATAATAATTATTTTATTAAATATTAAATATTATAAGAATAGTTTATTATTTTTATTCTTTTAACCCAGTTAATCTCTTTTATTTTTTTTATCTAGTTAATTTTTTTCATCTGTTTAATTTTTTTAAGTATTCTAGAGACCTGTTATTAACTATACTAATTTTATTTTATTTATTTAGTTCAACTAATTTTTTTATATAATAATAATATATATCCCGAAGTCTTTCTGCAGTAGGTGTCTTAGCTGTATTTAAAATATAATAGATTATATTTATATAAAAATATATTTTAAAGCAAAGTAAACTGTTTTTATAAAATCTTTTATTTTTTTTCTGTATTTATTATTTGCAGAGTAGTGTTTAGAATTATAAGTTAATTATAGTTATCTGGCTTATTTTTAGAAGATATTATTAAGTTTTTTTTTCTGTTTTTTAGATATTTACAAACTATAATAATACTTAAATTAAAATAAGCTTTTTAAATTAGATTTTTTTTCAATCTCTAGATTACGTGCGTTGTAAAGAATTGAAAGATTATTTTATATTTAATTTATAAAAAAAATACTTTATTTTTTAGAATTAATAATAAAAGATAATTTTTTTTAAAGCCTGTATACAAGTTTGAAAACTATTATTTTATTTTAGTTAAAAAAAGATATTAATAATATAAAATAAGTTTTATAAAGATATATTATTTTTTAATAGAATTTTTTATATTTATTAAATTATCTAGAGTTGGTCTTGTAAATTTATATTAGATTTTTATTATTCTAATAATAATATATAAAAAATATTATAAATTCGACTATAGTAGTTAGATAAAAAAATTTAATATATTTATTTTTTAATAGCTGCTAGAATTTTTAGAAGTTTAATATATCGAGAAGCTAGCTTCTGAAATAAGATTTTAATTTTTAAATTTTTAATAAATAGCTTTATAAGATTTTTCTTCTTAAAAGTTATTAGCTGGTATTTTTTATTATAATATATTTTTATTGCTTTGTTGGCTTTTTGCCAGTAATTTTATAGGTTTTTTTATAGTATAGTTAGTTTATTAATTTAATTTTTAGCTGTAAAGATCTTTTTTTAAAAAGTACTAATCTTAATACGAAAATAAAAATTAGATAAATAGTCTAAGAAAGCCTTAAAAGAAGAATAATTAATAATTAAATTTAAAGTATTATTATAAATAAATTAAATAGAAGACAGTAAAATAAGCCAGTTTAAATAATTTTTATTAATAAAATATTAAAAATATTAGTTAAAAGTCTGATTTATTTTTTTAGTTTAACTATTAGTCTGAAGTTGAAATATTGTTAATAAATAAAGTTTAATCTAAGTATAATAAACAACTCGGAACCAAAATTTACTAGTAAAAAAAAACCTTTATTTAAGATTATATTTTAAGATAATTTAAATTAAAATTTAATCTTTTTATAAAAAAGTTCAACAAGTTCTGAAGCAGTTATAGTATATAAAATAGATAGAAATTAATATTATTTTATAAATTTATTTATAATAATAAGAATTAAATTTAAAATATTATTTTTTATTATAATAAAAGATAGACCTGTAATAAAGTTTATAAATAATTTAATAAAAAATTAACTAGAAATCGGCAGTAATTCGAGCTTGCTATATAATTTATATCTAGTAAATATAACTTTTTAATATACAGAACACTTTTTGATATAGATAATTATATTTTTATAAAAGTTTATCTAATAGAACTTTCTTTTAAAAAGAGTTTTTATTTTTAATTATTTAAATAGCCTGCTAGCTGATTATTATAATAAAGACTTAATAAATAT